TTCCTGCTTTGATGGTCGCTTGATGCTGCCTCGCTATGGCCATACAACGCAGTTCAGCGGACGAACAATCCAGAATCACCGAATGATATGTCCGCCTTTTCCGTTTTTGAGTAACTAACCCGCATATTGAAGCCACACGTGTGTTCTGTGGTAGTACAGACGTATACCAATGATGAAATAAGAATTTGTAAAGGGTGAGACAATATAACTACAGCTGCCTATAACGTTTAGAGTAAAATTCTCAGAACCACCAAGCAATTTGTGTGGACGGTGGTTCTACAGACATAACAAAATTACGGGTAACGGTAAAGTGCCGTGTTTGAGGAAATAGTCACTGCAGCGAAAGACCACGGAACCTTATGTTTAGATGGGCGAAGTCAGCGAGCGAGCGAGGACCGTCTAAATTTCCACATTCTCGAACCCACGTCAGTAAGGTGTTTTCTGATGTCTTCCCTAAAGATATTTTGACTAATAAATACGGTAAGGTAAGAGTAACGAGCAGGAGCTCTTTTAGCGTTCTCATATTTTGTTGGAATCTCTCAACAATGGAACTTCAGAGTACTACACAACTCCGTACCTGACTCGTCAAATTCTCCTCCGCAGGCAAGGTGTCTCTCAGAGCCAGAAGAGCATGTCGAATTAAATCATCGGCACTAGCTAAATTGATAATTGCAACAAACAAGTACAGAAACAGCATGCGAAATCTAACCAGGAAAGGTCAACAGGTCAGCCTGGCCATTTGCAATGAGATGCACATCGTTGTACCCGTCTTGAGACGGTGAACTCAAAACTATCTTCAAAATTTGCGGAACGATTCTCTGAGCGGAGTTAGAGAGGTTTTTTTTTCTTCTTACGGGCGCGCTGGCGCCGAAGCGTTGGCACATGTAGCGCGACTCACAGCGCTCTTCGCGCAAAACAGGTATCATATTCGTGTTCAGGGGGTCAAATAACCCCTAGGGACGTCACCTTAGCAAAATCTGAGCTTCTGACTCAACTTCGAAAAAATGGGGTATGGATAGTCATGGCTGACTGATAGCCAACAGCGATACTACGACTAGCATACTGGTGATGACTGGTCTTCGAACTGAAATAACTCTTCAGTCATGTCTTTTCGCAAACAACAGTACCTGGCTTACTTATTTGTGCCGTCTGCATCATTTTCTTGACTATCGGGAGGAAATCCCATTCCGAGACCAGTCATCGATGGTAGGTGAGCTCCAATCTGCTGCTAATTACCCATGGAATAGCCCACA